CCTTGATGCAAAATCCCCAGTTGCCAAATACGTGGAGGTATTTTTAGACGAGACCGAGTGTGATCCCACGTGCGTAATTGTACACGATATTTTTAAATGCGACTTACTTCCGGTTGTCGTGACCTTGACATTACCGTTACATTTGCTCTGACGTCATCGACCCGTTTACCTTTCACCCATTTCTTACCAGTTTACCCAGTTTAAAACTGGGACGTTCGACTTTTCCCTCGTTTCATTTTATTTTTATTTTTTCATTTTTAATTCTGTTCCATTTTAATTTAAGTGCGTAATTCTGTTCGTTAATACGTAATTTAAATTTTTAAAAAATATTTTAAGCGCTCGCCCTTACCGTTTAGTTTTTTGATCGTTTCCAAGACGGTGTCGCCATCTCGTGCGCGAAAATCGCACGAAATTTTTAAATGGACGGAAAACCACGTGGAGTTTCCCGCATTTTCTTCACGTGTTTCACAAGTTACACCACGAGACACCTCTCCCGTGTAAGTAAATAATTGACGTAACACGTGACGTCAGCTCGGATTTAGTTCGAAATTTCACTACCAGGAGAAGAAATGTCGTCTTTATCGTCATAAAAAGGATACCGTTGGTAATTTGAATGCAGTGTATTGTTAAAAACAGGGGATACAAAACGGAATTAACAGAAAGATTTGGCTTAAACTGATGGCGACGGAATTCTGTCCCCATTTTTTCTCGCACTGTCAACGTTAAATCGCGAGGTTCGACCACAGGTCTTTACGTCAAACAATGAAAATATTCTATAATACGAGAGGCATTGTTTGGTTTTAGCAATTCGGTGTCGAGATTTGTAAACACTTAACCGTTTAAACCGTGCCACAGTTTCCAATTCTCACTCATTTCTGGCATAAATGATAGCAAAACCTTTATAACATTCCATACAAATTGTTACAAATGATAGGGTATTCTACGTAAACAATGGAGGCTTCACGTATTCTAAAAAAAATGGCCGACAACGATAAACAAACCGACCTTGGAAACAATGAAACAAAGGCTAAACGGAAAGTTGTATTACTGTAATTTGTGAAATTTTTGGAAATTTAGTAATTGCAGAAAAAGAGTATTACAATAAATGCGTTCTGTGTACTGTACAATGGGCACTATTTGTTATACGAAAACACCATTATGTAGGCTACAGACTTAAAATCCTTTTTTGATTACCTTTAGCCAGTGAAGGACGAGCTTTTGTATCTTTCTAACACAAGTTTTCTATTGTTTACGCTGCCATTATCATCCATTGGGGAGGGGGGCAAAATTGTATGAAGGCGCGAGTTTTTAAATTAGGGTTTCCACTTGTGTCACTGTTTGTTGTGTGAGATAATAACTAAAATTGAGTAATACACGCCATTCATTTACCTTTAAACATGTCAATTTTTAGGGAATTGCTATTCTCTTCACCATTCAAATAGGGTGATTTTGTGTTGAAATATGAGGAACCGGGTGCAGTCCTTAAATGTTTCGTCATACAAATCCTAGCAAATCGAATTGGAGCTTTCGTTTTCGAGGATGAGGAAGGATTTTGGAGCATTTCGGTTGACGTCACACGAAAACATAATAAATGGTAACCAGTTAAAATGGGTAGAAGGTTTTCACGTGGATCCAACAAGGAGCGAATCTTCCAATGAATACAGTACATCTTTGAACGAAATTCATGGATACCGTACAAAAGCGCGTATTAATTATTTCTAAACTGCAATTAAAGTTAATTAACTTTAATTATACACGCTAAAACTAATTAAATATTCATTTTTATAATGGTCGCATTTAATCGATCAATCACAATCGCTTGTTGTAATCCGAAAGTTTTTCGAACTGCCCCGTTATTTGGCAAAGAAAATAGGGCAGAAAAACAATCGGAAGACGTGCAAAAATGCACGAATCGCATGGGAATAACGGGAATGCAACGTACTGTACTTTGAAACGAGGAAATGGATTGGAAGTCCTTCGACTGTCATAATTAGAAGCGATAAGTGGGAGTGGTGTGGAAGAGTGACGAATTAAATGAGGTGTATGATGATCACATGTAGTTCGTGATAATCCCACGTGCCAATAGAATACCTTATCGGGATGCCATCCGAAATATTTGGGCTTTTAATAAATTATTTTAATTTCTTATTGTAAATAAGAGGCTGCTTGAAATCCATTAAGATACCTTTCCTTTAAGGCACTCCTATAAAACATTGTGTTAGAAGTGTAATTGTTGCCACCTAATGTTGTTGAAAATACCAAAAAAAAAACAAGATTTTGAGGAACTAAAGGGGTTAAGTTGTTATTTATGTGTGATAAAAATATTTGGTAGGCTGAATCTGGACCTTACATTGATCTAGAATAGGGCTTCTTAAACTTTCTCCACTCGCAACCTTCTTTTATCCAAGAAAATTTTATGTAACCCCTGGTATACAAATAAAATCACTTGCTGATAAGTCATAGAACAGTTTATTCCAAAACAGTTCTTCGATTTGCATATTATTTTACTATTTATTAATTACAGACAAACAAATTTACTTGTTAATGAGATGGATCTGCTTGTTTATTTATCCATAAAAAATGAAATCTTGACTGAATATTTGATAGTGTAGTATGTGGGGCATCTCCGTTTTTTAGAGTTGATGGATGTTTTGATTTATAGTTGTTGATGCCGCTTTGTATTAATATGTAGTACAAAATTTTACCATTGTCAAAGTTTTTGCAACCCTCTTTGGAGTCACAACCCACAGTTTAAGAAGCCCTGATCTTGGAACATCAGATGATCCAAATTATAGCTGGTTTGTTCTCCTTTCCCATCATCTATTTGTCTTTCAAAAACAAGAAAAACAGAAGATAATATAAAAAAGTAGTTTTAGACAATGAAAATGAGCTTTTCGTAATTGATTTTGACTTGGTTCTGTGAGTCAAACTATTTCACTAATTTATAAATCTTTGGTGCTAGACCAGGGAGGAGTACAGTTGATATTTCTTGAAAAAATCTTTTTTCTAACTCTAAAATAATAGTACGTTCAAGTGCAGAATGGATGTTATTTTGGAATTTGCCCAATCTAATTTAATTCATATTTCTGAACCATTATTACAAGCTTTCCTTGCCCAGTTTTTTACTGGGGATAGTATTGTTTCTGAGTGTATCTTGTATATCCCTCTCCATTTATAGCCCATTAAGACTATCAACTCAATATAATAGCTTTAGAAAACTTTTTACTTCATATAAATATTCCAACTTTGTGTTAAAAGAACAGAATGTTGCCTTATAAAGGTCGAGTCTGATTTTTAACCTCGTGAACTTAGACTTTCAGAAGTTTCAAACAAATAATGAGCTGCCAGATACTTCGCTTCTTTTTCTTGATGTCTCCTTTAGTTGATGCAATCTCCTCACAGTAAAATTATTTAGCACAAGTTTTATCTGCCATAAAGAATCATTCAAATCTATTGTCGTCAGTTTTAACTACTTACCTTCTCTGTCACATTTTATAAACAATTTTTAGACATTCCCCGTGATGATTTCTTACTTGGTCGATCACTTCCAGGTGTTAAAATCGAGCAATACTATAAAAAACACATCAACGAAACGTTAATTTATTCATATTTCCCGACAAGGCGAGGCTTAAAAATAGGCCAATAAAAAAAAAAAACAAAATTCACCGATTTACCACAAAAGGAGAGTCTGGAAGCCTTGGTCATTATTTGGTTATCTCATAGCTTCCATAGCTATGGAGTATGCTCAATAATAATAAATGGTGCTAAAAGTATTGTGTACAATAAAACTTCCAATATAACATTGAAGCAGTCACTAACAGTAATTTTGGCTCTCATTTCTCTTCAGAGTCATTATAGAAACAGTCATTTCTCTTGACTCTATAAGGAATCATAATTGTTCATTATTTTGATAGGTACATCATAAAGTTATAAAATTAGGAATAATTTCTAAAAACTTGCTAACAATACATTGGCAAAATTAAGAACAAACAGAATTGTTTCATCATTCAGTATCTTCAGCCAATCTTCGGAGGCAGTATATAAATTCAACAGTGCCTCTTTGTTTAAGTCTTGCCTGCCTTAATCTCAAAAATAGGACAGAATCACTTATCCATTCATTTAGGAGTATTTTGTTGTGTAGTTTTGATACAACTGATAAGAATATAATGTCTCTATAATTACTTATTTTTGTTTGATCATCTGTTTGAAAAAGCTATATATAATTAATATAATAATACTCAAGGTAAGCATTAGGTGCCAATAGTTAATCATTAATAACAGTACTTAATTAGCCCGATTAATTATGGCAATTGTTTGGTTTATAATAATACTCGTTTGGCTACATTTGAATATTTCTAATATCTCTGCATATTTGTCAAGGGTTAGTTTACTTTCTATGCATATGACGATTGCTCTTTCTTGAAAGACAGTATTGTATGGTTGAGTGGCAAAATTGCAACAGCTATGGCATTCATTAGAATTAAGAAGCAAGAAAGCAGTACTTAGTGGTCTGAAATTGCAGATTATTAATCATAGTATACATTAAATCAATTTTCTCTTGCCAGAATTTTCGTTTATACTATAGAATGGTTGTATTGTTGCCTTTCCTTTATCATTCCTTAATAAACAATAGTTAGATTGCATTTGAATTCTTCTACAAGTTCAAAACAGTGTCATGGAAAGTGCTCTAGTGATCGATAGAATAGAATCTATAGAAGTCAACTGTTATGATCACAAATAGGAAAAGCATTGTATTACAATTCCACATATTACAAGCCTACTGTGTGTTCTATGTGAAGGAAAGATATAATCTTTAGCAATGCTCTTAATATGCTCTGCACTCTAACTGATCATTTTGAATATTAATAAGAAGTTAAAAGTATTGCTGTAGATCATGACTTCTTTCCTGATTTCGCTTCAATAAAGTATTCCAATTTTAACATAATTTTACTAATTAAAACTTAAATTAATGTAAGTATTTTTTAAATTTATTTTTGTAGATCTAGCTGCGGAAAACTTGCTCCAGCAGAGGATAGCGGAATTACACGAACGGCTCCGTCACGCCGAAATGCTAAATCAGGAAAGACGACGGGACATCCTGACACTTCGCCACCACTTTGGTGTCGTCTTGGAGAACGGAAATAAGAAATCCAAGTCTCCTTCTAATTCTTCCACTCACCATCTGGGTCGAGGGGCGCTCTGGAAAGAAACGCAACAATATCTGTCGAATTCTCAAAATGCGTTGGATCTGCAACTTCCGTCGATTCATCATTATTTACCTCACTTAGTTAAATTTCCGGACAGTTTACAACCGGTTCTGAAGCTCTCTAAAGGAAGAACGGGAGGTATACGGAATACAATTGAGTGATTACGAAACATTTTAAATTTTGAATTAAATAAGTTATTTGAATTTTTTTCTAGTGAATATAGTATTAGGAATTCCTACAGTCAAAAGACAAGTTCAAAGTTACCTCTTATCTACATTACAGAATCTGATAGAAAATATGTCTCCAGAAGAGAAACGTGATACACTTATTGTCGTATTCATTGGAGAGGTGAGGAAAATTTATTTAATAACGAAAAATGTTTCATTTTTTAATGTATGTCTTACGTATTATTATACATTATAATAAAATAGAAACACAATAAACCTTCAAATACAAGTCTTTGTCAAATGTTGCTAATTAATACTTTAATAAAATGGAAAACTTTACTTGACCCCTTGATTTTAATTGGTAGTAAGTTATTTAAAATTAAACATTTGTTTTTAGATCTTCTAAGATCTTCATCGGGTATTTTATTGTTTCAAAAATGGAACCCTCCAAAGAATAAGATGTAATTCAAATTTGAAAAATCAGATGTGTATAGTTTTGAGTTTGAATTAATCTTGTTTTTTAGGCAGTTTGCTTTTTCAAATTAATATAATACCTGATGAAGATCTTCGGAGAAGATTGAAAACATTAGTTTTTCTAGACAAGTATCATGGTACTGGACTGGATCAGGATAATGTGGTTGTGTATTGGTACTCTTCATCCAGTTTTAGAGAGATTGCTTATTCCCGTGAAACTTTCATAAGCCAAAATGGCCTAAAGCAAAAAAGCAATTATCATTAATTTATATGGGAAAAACTTTTGAGCATTCTCACACTCATAATTAACTTACTATTATTTTAGGTTTTGTGTGTTATTTGGTAAGATTTAGTATCATTCTTGCTTTTACTATATGTTATGATAAGCACATTGTTTTTACATTTATATTTTATAGAAGCTATGTAGTTACTGGAGAGAGAACTTCTGGTGTAATTAACCTATTCAGAACCCTTTGCTCAGAATCTCTTCCTTTTTGTATACTGCTTAGTTTGATGGTTTTATCAACCATCCCCACAGTTACAAATCACCAATGTCTTTTCTCCAGTTTAGTATTGAATCCTGTAGAATGGCTATGATCAGTTCCTGTGCAGTCTGAATGGGAATATGCTTGGAATCCAGCAAAATAATCTTTGTCACTCCAGTTTGGTATTGCTGTTTATTCAGGAGCAGCTCCTCAGCAATAGCCATAGATATACAATCCTTTATAAGGTTGCCTTTGTGTTCCACCAGTCTAGTATGTAAGATGCTACATGTGTACCAGCATTTAACATTGTTTTCATTCAGGGTGATTGGAACTTTATATACTCCCCCTTCTAGGCCATGAAGAATTCTATTTTGTTCGTTTCTCACTAGTCAAAAATATAGATGTTCAAATTGAGAAACTGAACATATGAATGAAGACAAATTGTTTCTGTAAAAATCTGGAGGAGTTGATATCAGTTATGCTAATTTCTTTGTTATTAATTGGTTATCCAGCAAGTGAATGATCAGGTGATTTGCAGATCTTACATTTCACGTGTCATATTTTTTACAAGTTTGGATAGTTACCAGAATTACCTGAACACTGGCACTATTTCCCTTATGTGCTGAGTTCCTTCTGCAAGTCTACTTTTGAGGAATATACAGAGGTTTTTCTGAGGCTTTTGAGACTGGTATAGCAGATACATAGCAAAGACATATAGATACAGGAAATCTTGGATAGTTTTAAATCTCATCAGTTTGTAACTGTACTTTTGTCCTGGCCAGGGATGTAAAGATTTACAAGTTAAGGAATTTGGTTAGTTTGAAATAAGGCTACTTCGAAATTTGAAGTGAAAATTCTGTCCGAACTCTTTTGTTTAGATCGAAGTGCTATAAGGGAACAATAGACCAACAACAACTCTAATCTGGTCAATATGGCTTTTTCATTAACACATTTTTGGTTTCATCTTACAAATGGACTACCTTTCTTTCTCTTATCTCATAAAATGTGGCTGATTTTCGGGACTGCAAGATTGGGCTACAAGTGACAGATTGAGATATCTGTAGACTCTAGGCTACTACATTTTAGGCCACTTCAAAAATAATATGGGTTACATTTCGAAGAATTCTGCTTTATTTTTTAGAAAACCTGTGGCAACCTGTGAGGTTCTCACTGGACACATGCTGTTTGCCTGCAGTTTAATAATAATATGAATAATTAATGAAAATAATATTCTGTATATGTAGCCAAATTCTTTTTCCTTAACTTAAATCAATTATATAGTACAGAAAAATTTCGCATATTGTACAGAAATATGTAAATCTTGGATAATTCAAAGTCACAATTATTTTGTCCCAAACTATTGAGGATTTTCTGTATTTAAATGAAATGTTGATAGCAAATGAAATAAATAACAATAGCATAGGGGTGGTATTTGTGTGAGGGGGGGGGAATTGCCTATCTCAACTATGTCAGAGTAAGTATTGTTGAATACAAGTACAGTAATTGTATCCACATCATGATGAATGATCAACCCTGGTACAAACGTCCAATTTCTACACATTTGCATACCAACCTACAAGAAATAAATCTTCCACCTGTACATCAAAGTCTCTTGATTCTTAATACCCCATGGTTATACCCTGCAGGAGAGATTCATTTTGACTTGCAGAACTACCCAAAAGCAACAACTCCAAATTCTGTATACCAACAATTATTCAAAGAACACTGATCTCACTATAGCTATACAATACCCAACATACAAATGGTTCAAAATCAACAACGTTAGGAGCAGCTTTTGTCTGCACAGAGACTGTCTATGCTGCAGGGCTGCCTGCAGAAACAACAGTTTATACTGCAGAGTTGTTTGCAATTTTCATGGCTGTAAAGACACAACCACAGACTGTATATATATATATTATAGTCTGACTCTCACAGTGCACTTCAGGCAATTAATAGCTGCAGGATAACAGATCACCAATACTCAACAGCATACAATACCTATTTTCAACATCTCAAAATCTCAAATGTACAGGAAATATAGCCTTCTATTCTGCCCAGATATACAGGACTCCAAGGAAATTAAACTACAGACAAACTCACAAAAGAAGAAAACAGAAACCAAGCAAGAACTTTCAGACCACACTATAAAGACATACACAGCTGTATCATACCATTTGTGTGCCATTTGTTGTTTAGCTGTACATATACAACAAATGGCAAGAGGACTGGGACAACTCAATAATAAACTTCGCACCATCAAACCAGAGTTAATAAAATGGACAACCAGAAAGAAGAAATAGTACTTGCCCAACTGAGAACAGGACATACAAAACTAACACATACTGCATCTATGTAATAATGAGAAACTCAACAATATTCTGAACTTTCCACACACCAGAAACAGCCAGAGAATGCTACATTCAACAACATACATCTTCAGACGACCAATGGAATATACTAGAACTCAACCTACAAAGGCATATCTGATGGCAATAAACTTACATAAACATTTTTTAAAGAAATGATGATGGGATTTGGGGTAAGTTATTTCAGCATGTTTTAAAAATTTTTTCTTCCAATGCCTTGAAACTTGGTTTTATCTTAAATAGAAGACACTGCTGGATTTAAAGAAATCCAAACTTTATTTTTACAGAAATGTGCTGTAAAAATTAAAAAAAATTTGGTTGTCTTAAGCCATCAGCATCCTTCTCAAATCAAATCAGTTATAAGGAGAAAAGGCTAATCATTTTAATTTGAGATGTTTGACTAGACAATAAAATTATTTGTCATTATAAATTGAATATAGCAAAATGTGTGATTTAAATTTTAAAAAATCAAGGCTCTATTTAATTTACTGTAATTTATTTGAAGTAATGTGTAAGTAAATTAAAGAACCTTTCTTTAAAATAACTGTGTATATTACCAATTACATATAAATTGAATATGAATTTTGTATACAAACTTTATATATAATGTTTTAACAGAAATTATTAAAAACCTTTTTACAGTTAATAATAATAGATTTTAACTTTAAGAAAAGAATTCTAAAATTGTTTTTTTTTTAATTAAAGAATTATATAGAAAATGAAAATTACACAAAATTTATTGGCTTTCAAGATTCAAGTAGGAGTTTTTAATATCAATTAAAATACAAACTAATTCTTTTATTTTCCATATATCAAAGGTGAAGCATATACAATTGCCACTGATAGCGTATCTCGCACCCTTGCGCAAGGATGAGAGATCTTACCTTTGTACCATTTGTACTTTATGAGTTAGTATAAATATATCAAGAATTCCTTTTTTCTCACCATCAAAACTCTTTAGATGGTATGAACATCTAGCAAACTCAATTCAAATGTTGTCAGAATGTGTAAGTTTATTCCTTTTATTCCTTGCTTGACAAGAAGCATTTTATCACCAGGACATTGGGACCACTTTGCTCATGCTTGATCATGCAATACTATAAACCCATATAATGCAAATGTTAGTACTTGGACCATTGAAGCTTGCAAATTTGCATTTTCAACATAATGTTTTGTTCCATTTTTATAAATTTGTAATTTAAGGATTTAAATCTGGCACTTAATTAGGAATGTTCAACACATTTGTATCATCATACATATTTCAAAATTGCAGCAGATTCATATTGAATGTCGTCCAAAAAATCGTTTTATTTAAATTTGTATGTGTTCTTCCCTGTTTCAAATGTTCGTGTTCGATATAAAAGTATCTTATTCGCCTAAAGATGACAGAAATACATTCGTCGAAAGCGCTCGAATGAAAAATGCTTAATAACACCACGCACAGTGAGTTTTACTGCTTATTACTTAGGATTGTCTTTTGGCACCTCCTTGATGTGTTGCGTGCTGCCTGCAGTGGGTCTGAGCATAATATAAATTGGTTTGTTTCCAGAAAATGCACCTGTTAATTATTTTACAATGCAGATTACTTTAAAATAAGCATTTTATCTGTATTTTAAACTGCATTTGCAAATTTATCCATGTGCAGATTATCTAGTACTATTGATAATTACTCACAGGATATTAGATACTATTTATTCTTGAACTTGAATTCCTTGGAAGACCAAAGAATTATTTCCTCATACTATTTACTAATATATTGTTAAAATTCTTTAATAATTACATAATGATTATTATTTTTCACGCAATGATACGCTATCTCTGTTCTTAATCATTTTATACACTAGACTTATTGCTATTCATTGACTTATTAATGTAAAAGCTACATTTCTTACATAGTTAAAAGATTGCATTAAACACTTGGTCTATAAATTAGCCATTTTAATAATTGCTATTTTTAATAGCCAAATGTTTAAAACTATATATATAGGGCTTTGTGTTGTTTACTACCCAAACACTGATAGTTGGACATGGATTTGCACTTCATCAACAGGCTGACCATTTTCCAGGTGATCTTCATTTCTTTAACACCTAAATATAGGTGTTTCCTGAAGAAAGTCTTTCCTGGAGGCTTCTTCCTCTTGGCAGATGTCCATTTGGTGTTTTGCCTTCTACCATCAATCCAGTCCTAAGTCCTTTTTTAGTGTGCCAAGTGTATATTCAATTTCATATGATTTTAGATTCTACAGTTCTTATAAATGATTTCACAATATGTAATAGTGATCCTGATTTATGAGAACTTTTTAGAAATGAGATATCTTTATAAATCAGAACCTGACAAACAGGTTAGTCACTGATATAAAAGGAACAAATACAAAATGAAAGAAGTAAAGAAAACAAAAGTTATCATACATTGTTTTTTCTTACCATTAAATAAATAAGAAAATAAAGAAGCAGAAAACAAGTAAAATGCAATGCAAGTAAAGCAAATTTGTCTACTTAGTGCAGCTTACTGAATTTTATAACAACAAAGGATCTATTAAAGTAAATGATTGTAAGAATGGATCAACAAATAACTAGCTGAAAGCAACAGCATAGTTGGTTATTTATTGATTCATCTTTACCCATTGTTGTTAATTAAAATACAAAGTTAGTTCAGGGATGCTAGTCTACAGTTTTAATCTTGTGACAAGACAAGATTCTCATGCCCCATTTGTTATTTGAATGTATTCTCAAAATATTGGCCAAACATCATTGTATCAAATACTGTGTTTTGTCTTTAAAGATAGGAAGAAAGATAAGAAAGGAAATGGTTCATCATTTTGAATTCTTATTAGATAGGATTCATACAGAAATTCTAAAATAAGAATTTAGTAAATTTAAATTTCAAAAATAAAGATCTACTAAGGTGTATTTTTTTATTTGTAGAGTGATCAAGAATATATTAATAAACAAGCATCTGAAATTGAAAATTTGTAAGTATAAATGTTGTTTTATTTTATATATGAAATTAGCAATGAAATTTCAGTTTTATTTGTTCATTTCATTAATTAATTGTATTTTTCATTTAGATTTTATTCACATATAGCTAGTGGAATGTTAGAAGTGATAGCACCACCTGCAAATTATTATCCAGAGTTTAAAAATTTGAGAAAGACGTTAGGCGATCCCATAGATCGGGTCAGGTAATTTTCGGCATGCACTGCCTTCCGTGTTGTTTAGACATCCTTTTTAACGTTTTTGTGTTTGCAGATGGAGAACTAAACAAAATCTAGATTTTGCCTATTTAATGATGTACGCTCAAGCTAGGGGAACATTTTATGTACAGGTAAATCATTAAGTTTAATCATAATCACTTTTCAATCCTTGAGAAAATAGAAATTTAAAGTTAATAAATTTCTAAGTTAGTAAATTTTCAAGTTTATAAACTGAACAACTTTTTATAATTAAGTAGCTGCCCATAAATTAAATAATGCCGATGTGGATGGACAGGTATGTAGGTAATTGCTACAATGCATTACAAGGGGTACAGTGGAACCTGGTTAACTTGAACTTGGATAACTCAGAGGATCAGGAAAAGAAAATGACTAACATAACCAGTTTGATTTAACATGCAAATACTTAACTCAAATGGAAGTTTTGATACAGTATTTTCATAAATTCTTTAGATTTTTATTTAAATAAAATAATTGATGTTTGTCTAGTGAATAAACTAAATCAGAAACTTTATTTTTAGTTGTATGTTGTTCCTTCACTTTCTATAAACATCTCGTCAAGTGACAGAAAGGGAGAAGGTGACCTACATACTGTATCTAGTATTCAAACTTGCTTTTTTTCCTGAACGTTTTGTTGAAAGGTTTATCCAATTATCCGACACAATCTTTTTTTCATTTGATTGTTTTATTTATTAATTTATCAGAGTCAGATTCTATGTAAGAATTTTAACCTTTTTGTGGCAAAATTTCAAAAAAAATAACAATTATAGAACGGCACATTTGTGATTAAAAAAAATAAAAGAAACAGATCGACTGTAGGTGAAAAATATCACAATTTTAAAAAATACTTACTAAACACTTATTGAGAAATGCTTTCCATTCACTTCTAGCTTACTTAAGCATTTTTGAGTTTCTGGACAACACCAAGAAGTTTACGTCGACACAACGATAGTACATAATAAAACCCATGAAAATATAATATGGATAGTTTATTATGGGTCAGCAATAAATCAATGCACAAAATCTCGATTTTTAGCCAAACCTCATAACTCAAAACTTTTTAACTGACGTCCAAAAATTTTTCCTGACTAATTTGAGTTAATCAGGTTTGCTTGACAAGAAGCATTTTATCACCAGGACATTGGGACCACTTTGCTCATGCTTGATCATGCAATACTATAAACCCATATAATGCAAATGTTAGTACTTGGACCATTGAAGCTTGCAAATTTGCATTTTCAACATAATGTTTTGTTCCATTTTTATAANATTTTTAGCCAAACCTCATAACTCAAAACTTTTTAACTGACGTCCAAAAATTTTTCCTGACTAATTTGAGTTAATCAGGTTCCACTGTATTTACAAAAACATTATGCAAACTTCAGAAATAAAAATGAATCCCAAGGGTTCAGAACCTAGCATTACATAATGAACCGTATTGTTTTTTTATATCACTGCTTTGTACATTGATACATTGGTTCTCCATGATGTAATTATTTTAATACCGTTAAGAGTTCAAGGATATGCATTACATAATTTTGGAGGCAAGTTTATGCAACAGCATTACTAAGCACAATAGGGAATGGGTTGGTAATTGAAAAGTATAAAAATAGTATTAAGTAATTCATAGAAAGTCCCAAGCTTAGAATTTGGAAAAATGTTTTTGAGCCACTTTCTGTATTATTTACACGATCATGTGATATATAAAAAATTCATTGTTTAAGCCTCAAAAATTCAAATTTATGATTGATACATAAATATAAAATATGTAAAACATAATACCTTTGTTGCATGAGGAAATTTGATATTACCCAGGCTGTAAAAAATCAAAAAAAAAAAAAATTTACCTTTAAAAACTACCTAGCTTTTGTGATAAAAAGTATCTGTTGGAAAACTCAATCTAAGAATTAAAATTAAAAATGTGGCAATAATCTAAAATAACCCTTAAAAACCTCTGTCCTGCAGTTGTTCATAGTGTGTTGTTCAGCTGTGCTTTAATACCACTGCGTCACAATTTCATTGAACAGATAGTAGGCCATCATATTGAGACGACAAATCAATTTTTCCCCTAAATAAAAAATAGTCAATAACTTTTTGGATGAGATGGTTTTGAAAAGTTTGGTTGCCTTTGTTTGTACCATTTTCAAATGCGTAAAGAACAGACAAACTAACCACTTTATATCCTGATGTAGATAATATAAGCCTGAAAAATGGCAATTTACTTTGTTGTTTTATTAATAATAGGTGAGTTTAATAAAAAAAAATCAATATTCTATTCTAATTCACAAAAAATGTTAATTAAAAATTTTTACGAATATCCTAAAGTGCTTTAATGCATTGTATGATATTATCGTTTTTAAGATAATCTTTGATTTGACAGATCCATTGAAATTGTCTTTCAATTAAAAAATTTGAGAATTTCAGAATTTAGATTTCTAAATGAACAACTGTGATGTAAATTCACTTTATCTATTGAAATACAATTTTATTTTAATTTTTATAAATAGAAATTTCTGCTTTCCAAAATTTCAAATTATCACAGTGCTTCTCAACCCATGTTACACAAACTTGCCCAAGTGTTCCACGTGAAAACTTTAATTAATGCAGCTTTTCTATGAGTAGAGTAAATAATCTGTACATCAAAATAAACTTCATGTTTACTGTTGAGTAAAACAGTAAACATGAAGTTTATTTCGATACAATAACATTTATTAGTTTATTGCTTTATTGTTTTGTGAAAATAGTAGACAGAGACTGACTTACTGATTTTTGAATATATTGATGCTAATAACATACATAACCACAGGAATAATGACAAAATGTTTGAGAACCATTGGTTTATGAAATAAAGGTTGAAATGTGCTGTGCATACATTTTAATTTTTCACATTTATTAAATTTTATAAGCATGGGAAATCAATTACAGAGTGTCTGTTTCTAATTTGTTAAAAGGAAGCTCGAAAATTGCCAATAAGCATGTGTGTCACTGATAATGATTTGTTTTCTTAAAAAAAAATAATCAGTGAATCAGAACAAACAAACAAAAATTATTTTAAGTAAATTTTATTAAATTTTCTAATAATATTTATTCGAATATCTGAATTTAGTTGTTTTACTGATTATAAGAGATTATAATTATAAAATAAAACATTTTTGCTTTCCAGTTAGAAGACGACATATTAACAAAACCGGGTTATTTAAGTATAATGAAGAGTTTTGCCCGTAAACAAATGAGTGCCAATAGAGACTGGTTAGTGCTCGATTTCTGCCAATTAGGATTTATTGGTGAGTGGAAAATATTTTTATAAATCTAATTGCAAATTGTGGTTTATATAATAAATTATATCAGTAATTTTACTTAAACGGTGCCTTCAAAAACAAACAAAAATATTTGTTTGTATTCCTAAAACAGTTGGAAATAATTTATTAACTTGTTAACTGCAACCCCTTAAAATCCCTTAATCTCCCCTGGGCTATTCACTTTTTTTTCTATACATTTATGTTCTTTTCATATCAGATAAAAAATCAAAGAGCAAATGACAAATAATTTCACTCTTATAGGGTGCTGATATAGTCTTTTACTATGTGCAATGATTGTCAATCAGTCTAACATAAAAATCAAACTGCTTCTCTAGAAAGTTCCATTGTTACTATTAGAAACAGGGCCTGTCTCTCTTAGATTAAGGGAGATTATGCATAAAGAAATTTCATTACTGTGACATAGTGTTTATTATTAAAAATAAATAAACTTCATAATTCATCATGGATGATTTCCTTGTATTGCAAAACTTTCAGAGGAACTTTTATAACTCTTTACATGAATGGAATTTCTCTCACTTTTGTCAGGATACAGATAGTGCTCTGTGGTATGTTGTAAGGACTTTTTTTGGACCGGCACAGAACTTTGCCAACATTGTTTCATGGACCTCTGGTGAAGTGCTTGAATGTCTTAATTGAAGTTAGTAACCAATTTCGTTATCTCAAATTTACTTGGCAAACTGCCAAGCAAAAATCACTGTTGCCTATCTTTCAGGATGACCCCTGTTTATAAAAAACAATAACACCCAGTTAGTGGAAATTTTATTAATCAGTGTGTCACTAAAGCAATAAACCAACAACAGAACCACTCACTTTGGAAAGCAAAAGTGAGTGGTTCTGTTGCTGGTTTATTGGTTTAGTGACAGTGGAGACAGACACCTGTTTAAATTCATAATCTTTGTTCTCTGTAACTAACCCTTAAGTCTGCAAAATAAAATGATCTCAACATGACTCGCCTGCAAATAAAAGTGAGGACAAATAAATAAGCATTACTGTTACATTTCTCCTATGTTGTAGAACTTTTCAGCAATCTGTAGATCATCATTCAGTTAAGGCATATTTCTTTCTAATCACAACTAGCTTCTTAATTGAGAACTTCCCAACAGTCTCTCTCTCCATCTAGTGTAATAAATACAAATTAAAATTTATTTGAAGCTGTCAAATAGTAAAAATATAACTGTATAACAAATAATTATACGTTTAATGCAAACATTTAGTTAATTTTGATTGTCACTAATTTACAGTTGTATTAATGATGTTGACTGTAAAAACATAACACTCAACAAAGAAAGATATTGATAAGCCTGATGTAAATGCCATTTAATTGGTAACAACTTTTTCTGATTTTTCTGTTGAAGGTTTCATTTAAATGCTGTATTTTATCATCATTTCATAAATCTATTGATTCCTTCTAAGGTACTAAATGGAATTGTTTAGTACTCATAGACCAGTGGTTCCCAATTAGTTTTTCTTATGTACCACTTCAAAAAAGAGCTCAAACTTGCGTACCCCTTATAGCAGAAACTCATTAATCCATACTAATATTATAAATTAGAAGGTAATTCTGTCTGTCAGTCACCTTTTCACATCTAAACTGCTGAACAGGTTTTAATAAAATTTGGCACAGAGACAGCTTACATCTTGGAGATGGACATAGATATTTTCTTGCAGTAAAATGTAGCCTTACTCCCATGAGAAAATTCAATATAATGCAAGTGACGCTGTGGGTAGACGGCTAGTGATAAATACAAATAAGCTTTTTTTACATTTATTACCTTTAAAATACAATTCTAATAATAATGAAAATAACTAAGGGTTATTTAATTTTAATGTGACAAATGTGCACAATTTTCTTTGCACAACTTTGTAAAATCTGGTTGCTTTTTAATCAGCTTCAGTCTCAAGTCATTTTCGAGTTGAAGTCGGTGACGATATTTAGTTTTCATGTTTGTCATGGCCAAAAATCTGCTCTTGCAGAGGTATGTTGCGCAAAATGGTAGTAAATATTTTATTGCCGCTTTGCTGACATCGTAATAATGATAATTGTACAATTTTTGTTTCTTGCGTAAGAATTTCATTTAAGTATTGTCACAAATGCATTTTTTAAATGAAATTTTTAGTTATAAATAAACGAATTCGTGCATTCGACATCATGTTGTAAATTGCCGAATTTTTGATGGCACACCCATATTTTTTTGATTGCTTCATCTCATGCATTTAAATTTTAAATTGACCGATTTTAGATTGCCGGGGGTATGCGTACCACTAATTGGGAACCATTGTCATAGCCAAATAAACTAAGTATTACACAGTACTTTTAATCAATATGTTAATAAACCCTAAATAATACATGGTATTTAAGCTGTTTGCAATAGTGTTATAGTGAAATTGATACATTACTCTGTATACAAGTTAAAAGTAACCAAAGAAATAAAAAATTCACATAACATTGTAAATTCTTAGAATTACAATATATTGCAATGTGTAAATTTTTTCATAATTTCACCTAGGTGACCACTTCACTTATGTAGCCAAAAATTGTATACCCTGTGTGGCATAAGTGAGGTTTTACAATACTTTTTATTGCTATGTTCATAATAAATATTTTAATTAGCAAATTTATTTAATTATTTCAAATATGCTGAATTATAAAATTGCATTATTATGTCTGTTTTGTAAGTAATTTCTAAAACTCCAAATATATACTAATTTCAAAAGAATAGTAATCACAATAATATGAAATATCAGCTTTATATCTGTCAAAATATCAAACATTTAACATACCTAATCTTCAGTATAGTATATTCGAATTTAAATAACATTGAAAACAAATTTTCAGTTTGCTTTGTGTGTTGTCAAAGCAATACAGTCAAATATAATTATCAGAGCCCTTATTTAGCCTGATGTCATATGGCAGTTGTTACTACATTGACTGTATTGCAATAAAGCATGTCTGGAAAGAAAATATTCAACCAATTTGTGGATTTGTTTTTCAGGTAAAATGTTCAAATGTGCCGACCTGCCTAAACTTGTAGCATTTTTTTCAATGTTTCATAACGACAAGCCTGTTGACTGGTTGTTGGATCATTTGATTCAGACAAAAGTTTGCAGATTTGATAAAGATGTGGTGAGTAAAGTAACATTAACATTAAAATTTATCATTTACAAAAGCAGTTTTATTTTTAATAGATAAATGATTTTCAGATTCATGTTTTTTGTACTAATCAATAAATAGAACAAATATAAATATGAAAGTCTATAAAACATGTAAAAAATCCAAAAAGTATTTACTTTTACATTCTTATTCCTATTATTATATATATTTGCTATCCATGTGTTTAAGTAAACTTGAAGCCAGTTCTTAGCTACAACTTTTGCACTATATGTATGTTGTAGATCTTGGACATCAAAAGTGTTAATTATATATGTTTATTTTTCTCTAAAACACAAGAAACAAAGACAAAACAGTTAGTTTAGTTGTGTTGCTGTAACTGTAACTTAACAAACACTTGGGTGATCTGCCTAGGGGGATGCCTTTCGGGAGGTCTTTTTTTAAGCGTAACTGGCCCCTATTCAGGCATTGCACATGTGGAGTAAACCCAGCAGTATGCCTGTCGTGGCGAGGTGCAAACCCAGAACAGAATTGCTTGGCCACTTGGTGGGCAGACTAACTTTCTTTGAAACAGCAGCCTTGCTTTCCTAATCAAAAAGGGAATATTTACACATTAACTTGTACCATTTGATTCTAAGGTTCAATGAAATAATATAGGGACCTGCCAACATTTATTTTGCTAACTAAACCATAATGCTCTTTGATCCTTTCAGATAGAGCCCTATGCATGGATCCAATGTAGTATAAATGTCTTTTTGATTAAACTGGTTAAACACACTGCTTATCCTACATTATTGATTTGATCTTTGTTCCTTTTAGAGATTTGCATCACTGTAGGTAATCTCTTAAGACCATCTATACATATAAGGATTAAGATTGCACAACAAATGGAAACTTCCTTATACTGTTATAGAAGAGTTTATTGTTTCAAAGTCCTAGCCAAATTTACTTAAACACACTGGCAGCGGAGGTAAATACTAATATTTACCCCTTTGACAATTTCATAATTAACTTTTTAACCATAGTACAAATTAGTACTGTAAATTAAAGTATGAAAGTTATAATTATGTTTTGAAGAAGAACTTATTCTAGGCTCAACTATAATTTAAATTTTACATCGTTATAAACCTCAAATTCTTCTAGAACTGAGTAAATGTAAATTAAATGTAAATTAAAAGTAAATGTTTAATACATGTTAAACTTTAATACAAAACTGGTCAACAACCAGTTTCATATTCTTTTTAGATTTATCAATTTATGATTAATGCAATTATTATTCTAATAGAAAGATTGCAAGAAGAGAAAAGATTCTGTTTGGCTACATTATAAACCTTCTTTGTTTCAACATGTGGGAACCCATTCTTCACTTAAAGGAAAAGTTCAGAAACTAAAAGTAAGAATTTTTCATAATCCATTTAATTATCATTTACATTAAAACATACAGAAAAATCTGAGTGCCATTGATTTGCATTTTTTATGAACTGCAGGGGCACTACATCTTCACAAAATGGCTGTTACCTGGATTATCTAGTTATATTGAACATAAAATGAATCTTGTTTTAACATATATCAAGAAATTTTATAGTATACAGTAATTACTTTTAGCAGGAATTGTTGAAAAAACTGAACAGAATTATTCAAAATTAAAACCTTTATGAAGTTTTTATATTGCAGGACAGTTGTTCAAAGCTCTCTGTAGAAAAAATATTCAGCAAATCTCAACCAAATTTGATTTATATATTGTCCTGAATATGAGGTTTCAATTTGAGAAAAAAATTTTACTTCAAAATTCAGCCACTAGGACGAAATGCAGCGTGTTACATATGTTATATAGCATATATAATGAATTGCACTATCCACACTTTTTCCAGCCACATCAGATTAACCAAACTGAACATCTATATGGAAAGTGTTGCTGCTGGAGAAAGCATGATTTCAAATATTTAAGTTCCAGCTCACATATTGAAGTGTTTTATATCTAAAATTTGTGAGGAATGTTTCAAGATTCCTTTTTTAACAATTCTTCAACATGTGCTCATTTTGCATTTATGGATGATGATGTAACCCCACATACTGGGTTAAATGTGTAAACATTAAACGTATCTAACATCATGGCTGTCACTATCACTAGATCTGAACCACTATGTCTTAATAAATGAGGCTCTTTAGGTAGCCCCATAACCAAAAATCAATGTTCCCAACCTAGCAGTCTTAAAATTTCACATTACAACTGACCTGTGTTAAAGATAAATTGTTGTATTTGTACAATGAATGCAGTTTAAAGAGCATAGAGATGAGGGCATGTAAAGCAATACCTTTTGATGCAACCATCAGTTCCATGTCCCATATCTGTAACTGAAATATAAATTACAATAATTTTAAGTTAAAAGGTTATATTTTAAAAAAGGTAAAAAGTTGAAAAACCTAAAAAAACCACCATGAAAAAATACCCAGCAAACATCTACACTCACGATGGTATTTAAATAAAGAACACTAACAACATTATTCTGCATAACAATTGCATAAATTCTTATGATATTATTTTCCTTATTCACAATCCTTATGCAGAATAATGCCTTTATACCCTTAACTATTATCCCAGCATACATCTGCACTTGTTATTAATTTAAATACCAGTACATCTTCATATGAGACAGTTTATCAAAATCATGATGTTTGATAAACTACATCCACTGAAGAGGCCCTGTTATAGACACAGCAAAATACATTTGGAGGTAAAATTAAATAAAGCTTGTTTCTTCTAAAAAGGAAGTTGTAGTCTATATTTTTTTTTAAAAATGGCAAAAGTTAAATCTTTTTATGTATCATGTTTAAATTTTTATAAACATCTTTTAACTTTACTGATATTTGAAGAGACTTAATTAAAAACTATAAAGATATTTTATAAAATATAGGCCACCTTTCTTTATGCAGCGAGAGTGTAGCAAAAATGACATCACGAGCAGCTATACGTCACTGTATCATAGTTTAGAAATGCTTTCCACTCGAGCAAAACATGGATGCCATAATCTATCCTTTAGTCCCAGTTATAGCCGAAAATAGTGCTTTAGTTAAAGAACTACAGTATTTAAATAAATGCTCAATTCTTTCCAAGATGTGATGTGAACAAAGTAAAGAGATATTTTAAATATAATTATATATCTTTATATATAGAATTTTCTATCTCTCTGTCTTCTTATTCTTTAGATAACTTTCAGAGTCACTTTATAAAATTTAATCTTTCCATATTTTTATCAACAGTCACTTTGACTTTTTTATTTTCACAGCATAATGCCATATTATACGCACAAACAGATGTAAAAGCTACTTTATTTTCTCTGCAGCAAACATTTAGAAATGGTGCACTGCATAAAGAAATGCAGCCATATTGATTCTAATGTTTGTTTTCAACTCTCAAAATTTATTAGAAAATAATAATATATTTCAAAATTCAACACTGCTATCCTCTTAATTTTTTCTCCCCAAAATTCCAAACCCACATACTCAGGACAGTATGTATTGCCAAATTTAGTTGAGGCTTGGAAAATATTCTTTTTACAGAGAACATTGAACACACACTTCTTAATTACATCAATTTAATAATTTGCATCTGTGTGCTAATTTTGGTCTTTAATATTTTTTTGAATAAAGTGTTTATATATGGTGCCCAAAATTAAATGAGCAAAGTAGTGATTTTCCTGTATTACATCAGGATATTTGAAAGAAAACACATACTATATGTACTGAAATTTCAAAGTATTTGAGGAATAAAATATGCAATAATGCATTGCAATACTTGTATTTTAGTTAGCAAATATAAATGTGCTTTATGAAATTAAATCGTTTTCTACATTCTGTTTGGTGTTGAAGAAATGTTGGCACATTATTGCAGGTTACTAAAGAGAGAGCATGTTTACATCCCGCCATCCTCAGTAACAATACTCCAATTCTTTAATGTCTTGGTGGACTTTTTCTTCCTGTTCCTTATTGTTGCTACCAATATTACAGATCCTATAGGTGCACAACTAAGGCAGTGCAGTTGCTCTCTTACATCTGAAATAGCTTTTAGTAAATATATCCAACCAAATTGTTTTAATGACAAGGGTTAGTAGTTTCTAATAGCTCGACCAGACAGAAAAGTGGAGATTTATATTAATAAAAATAACTAAAGACAGTCGTACGGAGATAAATAAAATTTTGAGAAATGTATTCTATTGTAAACATATTCTCTAAAACTATTCAAAATATCACAAAGTTAATATCCAATTTATAACAAGGTCACTATCTATTCTTGTAAATTGTTAAAAACATTTGTTTGAGGACCTGAATGAGAGAGAGATTGTAAGTAAGTCTAATATATCTCGTACTATTTTGTGTTTTCAAAAGTTCTATTTCTTTAAATAATCATAATTTTAATTTGGTTAACAGATGATGATTTATTACTCTTCTTTTAAAATTTAGGATAAGCAATTTGGCAAATTAGTTTTGCATCATCCTCATAAGAATCCATTAGCCGAAGTTAAAACTTCCCTGAAAGCCTACAAGTCTTATACGCTACATAGAGCCTATCGTGGCGAGACGTACTTCTGGAGCCTTCTCCCTCAAGAAGGAGACAATCTCAATTTTCATTTCACACCTCCTGTCATGCTGGAAAAGTAAGTGTAAAAGCCACTTCCTTCTTTTAATACCTTGCAAGATATTAACTAAACTTCTTTCCTAAAGGTATTTCTTCAGGAGTGGAAACGCGGAACACCCCGAAGATAAATTTGTAAACACGACCGTCGAAATACTTCCGGCTTCGTCTCTGACAGTCGTCCCTTATCCGATGTTGGACGACGGATTCCTAATAGTGGGAAAATTTAATAATCAGAGTGGTATTGCAGAAGGCACCATATTACCATTAGTGGGTCCAATAGCAATAATGAGGTTGACTATACATTCTGATAGTGATCATTGGATTTTGTTGAGTGAGGTAAAATTTAAATTTTAATAAATTCAATTTATATATATAATTAATGTATCAAAAATCAGTTTTAGGATTAAATGGACTCTATAAGCACAAGTTCTTCAATTATTTATGTAGGGCTTCGTTTGTATTGTTTTCATTTAACCTATCAGGTAAAATTTATATCAAAACAATATCTTGCAGTTCTGTTTTAAAGATCCCCCACATATACTTTGAGAAAGGGGTTCTGGTGAATTTGGCCAAATATTTGCTATTTTGTAGTTCTATTGGTCCTGATCAAGACTCCATAACTCAAAGACTGTCAATTTTTGACTATGCTTATCGAATGTCCAAGTTGCAAAAACAATATACAGTAATTTGTGCACATATTGCAAAGCCCAAAATTTTTTGTTTCAAATATATCTGGATTTTCTTGTGGATAATGAGTATTTGTATAATGAATACTAAATTTTAAGGTTTTATGAGGGCAGATATGGAAATTCAGACAGTTTCAACTTTTACATTGTGTATAATGCAAATGAGTTTGATTCTTGCATCATTTAGGTTAATACAGAGATAGTAGGTAGAGCACATCTCTTTATATGATGCATGGGTGATATTTCTTGCAAAAGACTCACTCTTCTGAGACTTGTTAACATATTGAAAATGGCTGGTTTTTTGACTGTATTTAGTTCTAATGATCCTGATTGAAAAAAAAATATCAAAGATTCAGTCAAACCACTGGATCCCATTTCCTGTAAGGTACGACTCATTTTGTATTACCAAAAAACTAGAGATGGTAGATTAGACGTCACGACCTGTAGACTTACTGTTAGTATTAATAGCATGTACTGTGCATGTTGATTAAGTAGAGAGAGGGGAAAAAGATATTAATACTTTTAATTTGAAAAATGCATAGTTTACATTATTACAATTTCTCTATAGTTGAACAACTTACAAACAAGCAAAATGACTACAGCAAAGCTTTTCTTATATTCTCTTACGTGTGCAAGAAATTCCATCAAAAGATAAGGTGTTGAGTCTTCTAAGATAATTATTTTCAGTGATCAAATGTTGTTGGTCACATTCTGGTATCTACTGAACTCTGTGTATGATTATACACAAAATCATCTTAAAAATGCAGAAAATTCTCGTAAAGTTTTATATTTCAAAAGAGAAATATAAATCAAGTTATTCCTAATAAGTAATATATTAATTCTTTCCTGGTTCATTTGTATCACTACTTGTGGGTGTGGTACAAGATCTTTACCAATTCTACAGCCCTGCTGATAACTACACATGTTGACTTCTGTCTCTAAAATTTACATTAATGCAGAATGGTGAATAATCACATATTCCTATTGAAACTAAAAGTACTTATCTTTGTTTTCTATGTGTGGTGAATCTGTAGTGTCTTAGCCATTTTGTATGGATCTTTCCCCTACTCAGTGATATTGAAAGAATCATCATAAAATAAGATTGTGCATTACAGGAGGTTAATATAAAATACATAAGAGTAAAAATGAACCATCCAGCAACAAATTTGCTTGTGACTCAGACTTTACAGCTCCAATTAAGATGTCTCTTAGAAAGCCAAAATTTATGATCCACTGCCAGGAAAAAGCTAATCTTGAAATGAGAGCAATCTTTACATCTGAACTGATTCTATTGCAATGCTACAAAGCATTTTTGACTAATACTGTGATTTATCCACGTTTGTCCTCAAAACTTAAACTTTTATGGACTACTGACTGTGTGAATGAAAAAGAAAGGCAAAGACAAAGGTTTTAATACTTAATAAATGTAAAATATAATGCATTTACAAAGAATAAAACTTAATAAAATCTTAACTGTACCAAACATTTTTTATAATGCAAGCACAAAAGGAAATGTCACAAGACAATTGATATCCCAAAAATAAAAACATACCTAATCTTTTGTTATGGATGCTATGTTCTTAGACAATCATGGTGTTCCACTAGAACCCAGAATCAAAAAGTGGAAATGTCTTGCTCCTCAATTGCTGCTAGATTTAACAGGAATCAAGAAAAAGCAATCCAGAATGCTTGTATGTGGCATCCATATTCTTTGTGATAATGTGAGGCCATATGCTGTAGTAAATGTTTTTCAGAAACTTTACTTTATAGACAGGATAATGTGAGATTAGCAGTGGGCCACTGGGCTCATCCCAAATGACCACTTACTCTGCAACAGGTTGGTAAAACCCGTTCTCGGCTTGTCGGATGGCTAGGAGGGCAAAAATTTGAGTGGGGAGTGCGTCGGTAAGTCGGNAGCAAAAAACCTCAAAATTTCTCTCTTAGGTGAGTCTTCAAGATGCAACTTTTCGTATAATAAATAATAGAAAGAAAACCTGACATAGTAAATTATTATTGAAATGCGAGATTTCCCAGGAAAATAAAATTTTCCGGGATTTTTCTCGTAGGGAATAAAAGGCGAGAATCCCGGGAAAACGGGATCCCGGGAAAGAAACCCTAGTCTAATATGCGTTCGTTGAATATGTTCGTTAATGGCGATGGAAGTTCAAATGGCTGTGGTTGGTCCTTTCGGTCCGGAGTATGGAGACAAATATGGCACATATACCAAGTATAACTTCCGAGGGATCGCCCGGAGCTTTCGGGGACTCGAGCTTTTATACGTTATTCGTGGGAAATGAGTCACGTGATCGACTTCAGTTGACACTTCGGTGCATTCCGATCAACTAACTGTCAACTTTACCACCATAATGTGAAAACAATCGGTGACCTTTGATATACTTCTCACCAAGAGTGGGTTTTTCCATCGGAGTTATTTACAAAGATTTTTCCGACATCGGCGTAAAAATTGCGGATTTCACACTTCCGAATTGGATACACTATATACAGGTTCTAGTAGAAATTTTCATAATATGAGAAAATCTAAAGATAAGATTTATAACTATAGAGGAAAGAGATTTTTGAACTTGGTCAAATCTTATGGAATGATTTTATTGAATGGTCGTTTCGTTACTGATTTCCCTGCTAATTTTACATTTATTTCCTCTTTGGGTGCATCATTTGTGGATTTGATAGCTATAAATCCTGAATTAGTTGATAACCTGGTGGACTTTAGAGTTTTGAATAAATTCGATTTTGACCATCTCCCTATTTCTATTGAGCTCAGGTTTGATTCTCTTCCTCTCAGTAAAGAATTGCGTATTGAGATACGTCGTTATGTCTGGAGATCTTCATGTTTGGATAAGTATTTATATAGTGTTACTGAGCAATATGCAGATATTAAGGGTGGAATTTTTTTGGATTCTTTTTCTTTTTATTCGTCTTTTGTTGACGTGATTCTAGTAGTATGCGTTTGATACATTCTGAAGTACAAAAATTAATTAGTATATATAACACATTTTTTCAAAAAAAAATTTTATAAAAAAAAATTTTTTTTTGAAATTAATAAAAATTTTTTTTGAATAATATCGAAATAAAGNGTGCATTCCGATCAACTAACTGTCAACTTTCCCACCATAATGTGAAAACAATCGGTGACCTCCGACATACTTCTCACCAAGAGTGGGTTTTTCCATCGGAATTGTTTACGAAGATTTTTCCGACATCAGCGTAAAAATTGCGGATTTCACAATAATGAAAGATATGAAAATCATATGAGACTTGATGGCATGTTATTCATCATCAAGATATGAAAACATTCATTGAAGAAAGCCTTGATGAGCCTGAGAAAAAGTCTAGCAGTCCTTTTCTTCATGGCTGCACAGTCCAGTCCATAAATTGCCTTCTGTAGAATTCTGATTACTTAGTGACCTTTTGGTATAACAATAGAGACCATATGCACTAGTTTTTTTATCTTTGTATGAATTATAAAAGGAATGCCATTCCAAAATTTTTGGAACGTCTGTGCAATTCAATTATTAATGTTAAGAACTATCATAATAAAACACGTTTATAGCTTTAAAAGATAATTGAATACTGAAAATTAAGCAAAAAAGTGGATAAGTCTGAATGGCATGCCTGCTATGTTATATATATATATATATATATACCAAGAAGTATTATGGTTAGTATAGTAATGAAAATGGTGTGGCCTTTTTATACACTTAACCATGGATTAGAACTAAAACATCAAATATGCCAATATATAATAGACTACCATATACCATATTAATTAAGTTGACCCCCAAATTATACTGATGCTCACCAATACAGTTTTAATACAAGATTATATTATTAACCGTATAAGAACAGATAAAGTGAACACACTGTCAGATGGCATTAAAACCCTTTTAATAATACAAGTACTTTCAACCATTTATTATCAAAAAAACTTTGTCAGTATAAAAATCCTTTTAATAATGTTTTAGTGAAAGTACTTGTGTTATTAAAAGAAAATAAACAGACTATCAGACTGTGTTAAAATCATCTGTTCTTATATTGCAACATTTGGCATGGAGTATAGTAAATGTCTTGAAGATAATATGATAAAAGTCAAGTAAGTAGAGTGACTTTTAAACCTGATGAAAAAATATTAACTATATTTTAAGTACATGGCAGGAGAAAATAAAGTTAAATTAAAAAGAACTTTGCTTCCCTAACACTGAAATTATTATTATTCTCTCAAGAAATCAGTTTAAGATAATATATTCTCATTTCTACATTATCAAAAGCATATATTTTTGTGCTTTGTTTGTTAACGTCTTGAGCAATTTTTTTTAAAGTACTCAGCAAATCACCAAACATATAAATAACATCTTATTTTTGCTGAGAAATATATTTACTTCCAAAACAAAGCTAAGGTGTTATTTATATGAAATGAGAATATATTCTTAAAAGATCAAAACCATTATACAACTTAGTTTAAACAAAATTTCAGTTTAGATGTGGAACAGATTTAGATTTGAAAGAAACAACTTCAATTACTATTGATAAGAAAATTTGTTTGACGAATACTAAATGACATTTCTGTTTGTAATTTCAGATACACCTAAAAGTGGCAGGTAGCACAAAACGGTGACATATCACAACGTTTTCATTGAACCTCATTCCTAAGCCTACCAAAAGGAGTCACCCGCCAGAATTCCTCGCCAAGTGCCTTAAGGACGTTACCGTGTACATAACTGCAAATTATCTATATTGTAGATAGAAACTTTCACATTGGAATTTATAAGACGACGTCGGAACAAATGTCTCTATTCTTTTTATCGAAACGAACCACACATAGATGGAGAGATTGAAAAAAACTATTTTAAATTACGTTGAGAATAAGAGAATTTAAAAGTTTCCGCCGTGAGAATTTTAATCGAATCCGATCTCAAATGGTGCTTGTAAACTGCAAAATGGTATTTTGTTCGGTTTTATCTCTTTTCAAATTTTAAACTATGTTGAAATTTTTTTTAGCCAAATAAATTTAAGTATGCAATTTTAATTTTCTAATATATAACTGTATAGAAAATTTTATAAAAAGTTTTATATTATAAGGACGAGAAATATTCGAAATAAGTTATGAGTGTCATTTTCCCGCAACAGATGTTATCATTCTTTGTGAAGTAAAATCCTTATTATTGCACAAGAAAAATAAAAATTCTTTGTAAATTGTGTAAAGTGTTATGTCATTTCTTCCCTGTGCAATTCCTTATTTTGTTTGAACATATCCTGAATTCAAGAATTTACTGCATTTAGTTTCAGATGTAGTATCTATTTTGACACGAGGTATTGTATATATTTTGATTTGTTCAACAATTTGAAATACAATCCTTTTTCTATACAGACAAAAAGAAAACAAGCAAAACACAATAAAATTTTTTGCCATAATATAGTTTGTATTTTTATAAGACTTAACTTTCAACATGTGGTGAATAATCATCAATTAGAATAGTCAAATAAGAAGAAACTATCATAGTTCTGGTGAAGTGCTTGCAATTTTTCCATATCTTTGTTTATTTAAGTTAAAGAAATATTCCAGTAACTACAAGTTTAAGATTAGAGTCAAATTTCTTCTCTTGTAAAAATTCTATATTTTCTATTTAGTTCAGTTCTAGCACCAACCAACCCTTCTGAGAATTTTTCATATTTAAAAAATTAGTGTGGACAAAATTCAAATTATTGCATCTATCTAAGAAAAAACTAAGTTTTACTTAAAAGAAATTTTTTTAAATTCAATGTTTCTTAATGTAATCAAAAGTTTATGGAAAAAACTAAAAGTAGACATCCGATAGTTCAATATTTTTCAAAGGTAAGAACAAAGCAAGCCTTCACAAATATACACAATAATCTTGACACAATTAATGCTGTCAGGCTTTACCAAGCAAAAACAAATTCTTATAAAGATTTGTCAGCAGATATCCTTTCAATTTAATTGATAATACTGAATAAATTTTCTAGATTAGACTAAAACCTTCAATCAGCAAAACAGTAAGCAGCAATAAAGCAATTTTTCTTTTCTACCCCATCTTTAAGAGTAAAATCCTTCAAGTGCACAAACAATAATCAAAGGAAGGGAATTTATGTTTATTAACAAAAAAACCTTCTGATATTCTATAATGTTTGTATTGATTTAAAGAAATCTGTGATATTTGTATAGCAATACAGTATTACTATTGTTAATAATTGTACATTTACTCTTACGATGTAATTCCATAACAGAATGGCATGAGCATGAGCATGTAAAGGAAATTATTGGTATCAAAAATTTAGGCCATGTAATCATCATTAAAAAAAACCGTATTAGAAGAACTGAATTATGAACATTTTCTGATTCTTGAACATTATAGATTAGGTCTAAAATTAACTTTGAAATAAATAACCTTAAAATTATTTAGATAAAAAATAAATTATTTTCTATAAATAAATTATGTCACGTCCTCTCTTCAAGTAATTTGTGTGTATGACAAAATGGGTTAGTATTTTTTCAGGCCAATTGTGAGTTTGGCTAGTATCTACAAAGGGGTGGCACAGTGCACGACCTATCCAAGACAGATGGGTCAAAAAACAAATTTCCAATCTGGATTTGGATCCCAGGTTCCCAAGGTAATGAGCTGACACCTTAACTTCCTTGGCCATCTGACTGACTCTCTTGATGTATTTTCTGGTATCAGAAAACAAGCTTAGGATGTTTGAGAATTTTTTTTTAATCATACTACTAGCCTATTCACATCCAGTTAAATCCATTAATAATCCCTCTTTTGTTTTAAGAAAAGCAAATTGTAATTTAACTGCAAAGCCAAATATTAAAAGTTGAAAAAATATCAATAAACTTGTTATTCTTTTTCTTGTAAATAATCTGTCTAGTGTTATCTTCAATCACTTTAGGTTGATTTTTCTCTCAGTAAACATTATCCAGGTTTAATGATGTATAATTTTTATTGTAGCATGTTTTAAATTTTACATATACATTTGGGGCTAATGTATTATCTTAGCTCTTTAGTGCTGTTTAAAAAGACAACATTGCAATATGCCACAATAAAAATTATACGTCATTAAACACCGGATAATGTTTGCTGTGAGAAAAATCAACCTAATTAAAAAGGATTAAAGTGATTAAAGATAATAATAATATTTGTTGGGATACTGTATTCTTAAGAAGGTATTGGATAAAGGAATTGATATAGGTGTAGAAGCCAGGTTAGTAAAGATGATGAAACAAGTGGAAATACTTAAGCATGACTCAGATTATCTTAGGAGTGGTCTCTTCCCTCAAAAAACACAAAAGATAATCTAACACAGTAAAATTAAAACAATCGATAAAGAAAGTTATTCCTAGACATGCAGTGTGGAAAATTGAGAGGAAAATAAATCTGCGATTAGATTTAAACATAGAAGTTCTTAAAATGATATGTTAAATTACTGCATTTTTATTAAGTAATTTCCTTTAGTTATAACCTTTTTGTAGGAATAGCAGATAATTTTAGCACTTTCTTATATTTAAGAAAGTGCTAATTAAGTAAGATTTTTTCATATCCATATCCAAAAGATAAAAATAACTGGATGAATAGATTAGTAGTTAATAAATCTAACAGTGATATCTAGAAATTTTCAGAATTTCTTAGCATTAGGATTAGAACATAATTTACCGTTTAGTCACGTGTCAATTGATATCATGGCAGAGTTGGATAAAAGTATTAAAGATGTATTAATTAAAAAAGAAGATAAAAAAACTATAAATGATAAGTTTTCTAATTTGTTTAAAACAAGAATCTAACATAGTGATACCTAAATATATTTGGAATTTCTTAGCATTGGGATTAGAATATAATTTACCGTTTAGTCACGTGTCAATTGATATCACGGCAAAGTTGGATAAAAGTATTAAAGATGTATTAATTAAAAAAGNTTTGGACAATGAACATTTTGCTTTAATAAGCAATACAGAAAATCCTCCTTAACTCGAACTCGAATTGTTCGAAATCCCATTCGTAACTCTTCTTTTGTTCCGTGGATACAGAAATTTACATTATTATCTTCGATCACTTTAATCCTGTCAACAGCTGTTTATGGTGGATCACCAGAATTTGATAATTAAAATAATTGAACAAGTTAATAGTCATAAATATATAGGATTAAATAAAGATCTATATTGTGAAATTGAAAAAGAATTAATTAAAAAAAAATAGATGAAATATGTAATAATAATTACATAAGCGAACAAAATGAAAAGTTCATACTTAATTTTAAAAATAATAGAGTACCTAAATTGAACATCAGGTGAGGAGGAAGAAAAATACAGACCAATAGTTGATTTTCGGTTTACAAAATTGTATAATTTGAAACAATAGAAATAGAATATTCACAATTTTCTGTAAGAAATGCAGATGATGTAATTAATAGAATAAGTAAATTAAAAAAAGGAAATTCAGATAGATTAAGTTTAGATGTTAAAAATGTGTTTCCAATTATAGAATGGAAATGAATAGAAATGAATTTGATTAACTGATTGCCCCTGGATGTCGGCTTCTTATAGAAACACAGCTTCCCTATCATCAAATGTCACGGCACGTCCCTGCTGATGATTATTTAATAATATATGATGAGAAACAAATAAATCAAATAACTATCTTTAACTATGTAAATAAAATTAATAGTGATATGTAGTTTTGTATAAGAACTAGAAAAACACAAAAAATTGAATTATTTAGATATAACCATAGTTAATGGATTAGATAAATTCACTTTGACTTATAAGAAATCATGTAATGTAGATAAAACTATTAATTATAAATCATATTGCCCAGAAAGTATGAAAAGGAATGCTTATATTATGGAATAAAAAATCATATATGTTAGAACGTTTAATGTTAAAGATAGAATTTAAAAATCTGGATATAAAATTTACATTGAGTGATTATCCGAAATTAAAGTTAAGAAAATAACACAAACAATACTTAGATAAGTTTTTGTTATACTTATTATACTAAACAATATAAATAAGAGAAAAAATATCATTCTTAGACAGAATAAGATATGTTTATCCCCATCTCTGACAAATCAAATATCACAAAATATATGTAGGAAAATTGATGCCAGTGATAACACGAATCATAAAAATGATCTGAAAAAGAAGGCACTGTTTACAGGTAAGAATGTACTTGTACTAAACCAGAATTCTATATTGGAGAAACAGGCCATATATTAGAAAAAAGAGTGAAAAGAATATGAAGTGGCAATACATCTCAAATATATTCAATCACCGTGGTATGTGAGCATTCAAATTTAAATAACTGTCAAATTAATAGGAGGTAAACCAATAAATTAGGATTATACTTAAGAGTATTTTAGATGTTTGGTTTATATATATATATATATATATATATAATTCTTTTTTAAGGTATTATATTATTAGTATTTGAGTACTATGTTTGGTATTTTGCCAGAACAACATACAAAGTGTACTTTATGTATACTTCATGTCTTAGGTTGTGTACTGATAGTTTCAAATTGTAATTCTCTCATATATAAGTAACTGTTATTGCAAATTTACATTGTGTAGCACAGTATATCATAATTTATTGTAATGTTTTTTTAAACAGCACTGAAGAGGAGCTAAGATAATACATTAGCCTGAAATGCACATGTTAATTTAAAACATGCCACAAAAATTATACATCATTAAATCTAGATAATGTTTGCTGTGGAAAAAATCAATCTAATTAAAAAGGATTAAAGTGATTGAAGATGATAATATTAATACAGCACCCTTACAAATAAAAGAAAAAAATGGTTATGAATCAACTTTCCAACTTGCTACATGAAAGAGTATATGTCCTGTCATTTTAGGGGTCATTTCTAACCAGTGTGCGGCGAGATGAATTAACAAAAATCAACAAATTTTAAAATTTGTAAAAACAACTATAAAATGTAATTCTACATCTCATCATTAACTATATTTTAGAAGTATTTCTATGAAAGTTTACTGAAATAAAAGTATTAGAGCTTTGAGTCTACTAGTCAATCTAGTAAAATTTAATAATAGTGTGTTCAAATTTCACACAACTCTTAAGAGTACTTGTAAGTTCAAAAAGATTGGAAACCACCATTTTAGGAAAATCAGAGTTGGATCCTCGGGAAT